TAGCCACCATCATCTGCGCCAACGGAGCATTCTGATAGTGCGCCAATCTCAGTAGTAATCACGAATTTATTTGTCTAAAGAGCTGCTGTGGTCTCATAGTTTCTGGAATTTTTATACGCACCACCTCGCGCTTCGCATCGCGGTAGGGATAATAAGGAATATAAACCATAATTAAAGAAAAGGTAAGTCTAACTATAAATGATTTTTCTTATGCCTACTCTTTCATGAATAAAATTGAAATCGTTAAAGGGCTTTATTTGCTTAGGAATTTAAAGGAGATGACGTGCGTACATTAACCAACCCCTTGCAAGCTCCACGCATATAGCGTATAAATTTACTGGCGCGACAGTCAAGGTTTTTGACAAAGGAAGGTAAATGACTTCATTCAGACCACAGAACTATTCAAAGAAAATGGCTAAGATAGAAGACAGATTACAGTTTACATAACTTTCCACGATAGTATTCAATATAAGTAGAAAATAATTTGTTAAAAAAATATGTGTTGTTAGTAGAAAAAGATATACGCTTTAATTTTCATCCTAAAAGAACCAAAAATTAGAGCAGACTAATATTTTTCAAAAATCAGAATCGGAAATACTAAATGAAAAGGCGAATGCAGTTAAATTTCAGATATCTTGCATCTGGACATTTTTCACATGCTACGTAATATTTTTTAATATGGCAACACGTATAGCGGGTATAGATAGATATCTGTCCATCGGGTGTCCAATTCATGCTAGGGATCGAGACGAATTTTATTTGAGAGAAAGTCAGTAATAAAATGGAAAACAGTAAGTACACTGAGACGGAATAGTGGAACAGAAAGGACTCTTGGAAGGTCTGGGGAATCTTTAAAGCCTTAAAACATGCAAAAACTGAAAAACCTATCTATAGATCTTTGCCTACGACCTATAGTGTGGTTTGTGTGATAGGAAGCTAATTGGAAAATGAGCTGTTCAGAGTTGAGGACTGGGTGGTCTATAACACAAGCCAAGTGACAGATATTCTGAATTTTCCTGCGTGAATATCAATGTTGCTTGGCTGCTCTAAACTTCATTTTGCATTAAGACAAACATTCCTCAGAAAAGAGGCTTTATGAAGCAGTGTGCTGATACTAGTGGAAGGTGTTTATGGTAAGACAACCGTGGCTCTTGACGTTCTTTTTTCGTTATTTAATGTGTGGGCCGTCGAATAATTGCCCAAACCTCCTACGTTGATATTCTCTTCGTTTTTGTATCGTGAAGGCTTACACATATTTCGTCCCTGTTGTGTAGTCATAAGTGGGTAGGCATATGTGTTTTCTTAGTGAGAATTTTACCTTAGGAATTTTCGTCCGTAGCCCATATAACAACGTTTATTTCGTCATCTGTCGCATCACCTTGCAAGGCAATTGCGTGAACTGATATGCCTAATGCAAAGATTTGAAGCACACATACAGCAGACTTGAGAAGTTAATTGCTCGCTTATACAAAGTAAGAAGTTTGGTTCTCTGGGACTGGCCACAAGTTTTTTTGAGCTTTCCCTAAAGAGAGACGGTAATAGAGCTAAGCACGAAATTATAGGGAAATAAGACGCGCAATTGTTTACCTCACTCTAATCCTAACCGCCTTGATTGCTGACAAGACCGAGGTCGAAATTACCAGGGCAGGCTTCGGGCGGAAGCCGCTTTTTCAATGCAGCCTCAAATACCGCGTAACTTAGCCTTTGGCGAGAGTATACTTCGCGCGGCTACTACTGCACTGTCTGCCCTCACTCACTTAACGTAGGTGTCTCGTCAGACTTTAGTAAGCCAAGACTGGTACTGCTACTACCAATACTGCTACTTATAATAATACTTATTAGGGTGTAGCTGAAAGATAGTATTTGCTGGTACTATTACTGAATGTTTTGTAAGTCAGATGTAATGCTAATTAAACTCAGCACTGGGCACAATCTCGGCAAGAAATGTAGAAGTACTGGTGTTGACACTGACGCCACCATTTGTCAGAGGTGACGCCGATTAAGCCAACGCTAGGGCTCATATTCCCTTGGTCTCAACAAAGAGTGTTAATCTCGGTTTAACTATTTCAGGTAAGTACATGCTGTGCACGGCAGCGTTTGCCTTGGTTTCCGCTCTCTCAATTCTATCCATCGAGCCGTGTACGTTTGTACTAGGTACGGACTAAGATACTGCTGCTATAGGTGCGTGCCTATGCTAACAGTGCTAATTCCAAGCAATCATGCTTACTAAGGCCAGTAGATAGTATACCATAAGTACTGCTTATGTGTTCTTTTTAAGGGGTCGCACCCAGTATGCACTTGCAAAATGTAGTGTCTGTTCAAAACTCCCTTTAGTTAGTTTATAGTCATTTCCTCTTACTGTTAGCAGGCGGGTTAAATATAGGCATAAAATGGAGAGATTAGGCAGACGGGTATTATTCCACCCACTTAAACTTACCACTTATGACATTGGTTTGTCTGTAGAAAGAAAACAAAAATATATGTAAATATATTACCTCAAAAGATAGGCGTCCCGCATCTTCTAATCAGTAGACTGATTTTTGTTTTGAATTTCAATTTTTCTCAACCTGTAGCATGCGCTCCCCTATATAGTACCACTGCTGGGTTACCGAGTGCGCTAAACTGCGTTTTCATCTGAAAAAGCCCTAATCCTACGTCATATTTTGACTGATGGGTGACCGCCATGGCCTGTGAAGCACAAAATGTTCTACAGCGCATCCATATACAGAATAGCCTAGGCTGGTGATAATAGTTGGTCAGGTTATGCTTCGTCCTCATTCAACTAGAAAACAGGTAATCAAAAATGTGGGAGGGATTCATAAATGGTTAAGCGAGTCTCTCGCTATGTTCTTCTTTGTGCACTACTTGTGCAGCACGGCCTTTGCCGCTTTTCCTTCACCAAGCCAGAATGCCCGGCTTCCGTGAGTTATTTGCCAAGTGGCCCTCAGCGGGTCTTCTAAAGAGTATACGCAAGCACATTTTGTGAATTTAAGTGTGTACTTCAAGCTGGTGGTGTTGTTTGTGTGCTTGAGTGGCTATTGGGGGGGAGGCAGCCCTGAAAATCTGAATAAAAACCTCCAGATTTTTTACTGAGAAGCAATGATGTTCGCGACACTAACTTACAAACGAAACGTTGGTAAGCTTTTTCTCAATCAAAACCATTTTCCATATTTTCAGTACTTAAGCAGGAACTGCTTTAAATTGCAGCACGTAAAATTGCCTTATTCACCCATTATTAAGCTTATTTGACTTTTCTTTTGTAACTTTTAGACAGATGTAGGATGTTGCTTTAGGAATGCTATCTAATCTCTTACCATCTACATGCAAAATGAATCAGAGGGATACCGAAGGGTCGGTTTAGTATGAGCAGCTACTCGTATTTTTTAGAGTATTTTGGTGCAGTTTAAAAAGTAAATCGAAAACGCTTGCACACTAGTATACGGACCTCCTGTGCTACGGTGGAGGGCTTACATTAAGGTCTAGCGGAGTTCATAGTCTGATTTCTAACTTTAAAAATAACGCTAAAACAGCTTACCCCAAAATTACTCCTAGTATCGGCCCTGAGCCTAACTCTAATCTTTGTGTAATTTAGCGCAAAGCCGCCTGAATGAAGAAGGAATACTAATAAGCACAGCCTACCCCATAATCAACTTAGAAATTGCAGATTTTGAGGACCCCGACAATGGCTGCCATTACTTAAACATATTACTGCCCACGCAAGTAACAGAATTACCCCCCTTCGATGAGAGTAACTACATTAAGTTAATAGAAGGACGAATATTGCATCAAAATTTAATTTACTACGTGAAAAATATAAGCTTTAAAATATGTTTTGTATAGTATGTCGTATATTGTATGCAATATACACGTGTACACACGTACATCTGATGTCTTCAAATGTATAATATATAGTTCCAGAAAAAAGACGACATCACTGTAGTTTCATTCCTCACAGCTTTTTAATTCACTAAGGCAACTACAATCGTCATATGATCTTGATATTAAATACTGCATATACGACAACATTTTCCTAATTTAAACAATGTGAGTTGCACCAGTGCAACAGAGTTTACGGTGGGTTATTACAACTCCTTTTTTGACAGAACATTTCATCAAAATCAAACTGTAAGTCGGTCGGTAATTGAGGCGCGTTGTGGTCCATTTTTAGATTTTTTTAAAAACGGCGAAGTTCGTTGGACGTTCGCTGTTTTCTACGGCGTAGTTGGCGGTACCTAGTTCAATAAATCATAAGTTTTACGGATTCTTTAAAAACTTTGCTTGCTATTTAAAAAATCCGTAAGAAAGTTCATCTCCAAATAGGAATTAATAAGGATATTCTAGAAAATTCTGACCCCACACAGAACAACATGTAATGGACATAGAATTGAGCATGATAGATTACGGCACTTACGCACTCACCTAAAGAGTACACTATCTATTGCTTATAATATCTCTCTAAAGTTAATTGTTTTATACGTAACCTTAGGCCTTCAGACCTTGACATACAACTTCCCATTTTTCTTTTTGTTTCCAGTTCAACAAAAAGATGCAGCCTTCAGACAGAGCAGAATGACCTCTTTCGCGAAGGCCTGTGCTGATCTATCCAATAACCTAAAACACCTGTGTTTGCCCAACAAAATCACAGTTCCCCACCAGACTGTAATGCAGCATTCCAGCGCCATGTCCGGTCCCCTGTCTGTGGTTTTCACAAGCTTCTCCGAGCACGACTTGAGTTCTGCAGCCGCCCTTGGGGCGGTAAAGGAACTGGAGTACGAGAACGAGGATGAACTTGGTTCCCTCTACTGCGAGGCCGCCGATAGCGCCTATACCAATCACACTTTTGCCTCAGAACCCCTCCTACCCATGAATAGAACCCGTGCAAGCCGCAGCAGAAAGACGCCCAAAACACGCAATGACATATCTCCCTCCAAGGAAAATCCCAGCAGCGCCAGTAAACAATTGCACCAGCCAACGGCGGAGAAGGCCCTCAAAGCGTCCACAGTTGCAAAACCAGCTGCTGTTGTTGCTGCTGCGCCGAGTGAAAAGATGCAACCACATGAGAAGCCTTTTTTGAGCCCCCAGAAGTCTAGCCGAGCAGAACCTGGGAGAGAAAATGGTAGGAAGACAATCCACATCTCCCTGCGCATGTCAGAGCTACGCAGTCGATACATGAATTCCTGTCGGCAGGGTACAGCTGCCGAACG